CCAATACACGTGCTTCCAAACCACCTAACAACAATTTCCCAACATTCCCCTCCTGTCCCACGAAGTCAGGAGATCAAGACCAGCTTGGCTGTTTAGTGAACAGGCTACCATGGAATGCCATGAAGGACGGCACTGACACTGGGAAGATCTTTTGGCACTGACTCTGAGGAGATCCCTTATGTGGGAGGGAGCAGTCGGGGCTGCTATGGAATAACCAGGAGATTTCCAGCCACCTGGAAGAAGGAAAACTGAGGTGCAATTCCTGAATACTCATGCTTAACAATTCTAATCTCGTTCTAAGGGAAGAAGCCAAAATGTGGTTCCTGTGGTGTTTGCCAGGAATATTAATGCAGACAAATGGGGTGTGACTGGTTCTGCTTTCGGAAAATGCAGCAAGTGTGTCAGTCACTGAGGACTTTGGCAGTTATTGTTTTACCAGCATCCCCAAAGTCCTGACACCAAACACACCTTACCACACTGAAGAGAGCTGTGGAAACAGGAAGTGCAGTTGAAACACAAATATAGCTTCACTAGAGAGAGGGAAACTTGGGACAGGAAAGGAGATGCGTTCGGATTAAAGGATGAAGAGATGTGTATGTACCTACCAGGTTAGTCAGGTTACTGCTAATCTTTTCACAGATTGGGTTCCTTTTGGCAGTCCTTTTTGTAAAAGCACATAGAAGAGAATGGAAAGTTCTGAGGTTGCTCAATGAGATATGCAATCGTTCGGTTCTGCCTCACAGGCTTAATTCTAGCCCAGGCTCACATTTAAGGTATCCCCCATCTTCAAGTCATCCTGAAAGATCTTGGCTGTCAAAGATCCACATGAAGGCTCCTCAGAGTCTCCATGGCTGGGGTGTGTATGCCCTGGTCAGCACTGTAGGATTTTCAGTCTTGGCTATTATCTGCCAACTGCTGAAATACTTCTCAGAACCAAATTACAGGGCTAAGGGGGACTCCCAAATAGTAACAGGCAGATGGTAAATACAGAGCCTGTTGGATGGTTACAATTGGGAATACTACAACATAAATTTTTGATGATTCTTTCAACCCAACTCTCCTGATATTTCCTAGCCTCTGACCAAGAATTTGGTAAAGTGTGGCAATTTCCAATAAAAAGTATAGCTGTTGAGCTTTTTCTCTGATTTGCTTCATTACACATGCAAGTTGAAACCTCGTTTCCTGCAGATGATGCTGACATCAATGCCAAACTACTCAATGAGGTCACCAGAAATTTCTGAACTCACGGTTTCAGGGTTCCCTCCTTCCTGTCATCTGATTTACTCATTCATTCACTCACTCATTCACCCAATATTTCTTGCATATTTCTATGTTATAGGGCTTGATATATATTGATAACTAAAAAAGACATGTCTCTTCCTTTGTGATGCCTGCTATAATAACTAAAAGCAGACATATCATGAAATTACTACTCATTTGGATAAGTGTTACAAGGGACCCTAATAAAGATGCAGGGGGCGGGGCGCAGTGGCTTACATCTGTAATCCCAGCACTTTGGGAGGCCAAGGCAGGCGAATCAGGAGATCGAGACCATCCTGGCAAACATGGTAAAACCCCATCTCTACTAAAAATACAAAAAATTAGCCGCGCATGGTGGCACATGCCTGTAGTCCTAGCTACTCGGGAGGCTGAGGCAGGAGAATCATTTGAACCCGGGAGGCAGAGGTTGCAGTGAGCCGAGATTGTGCCACTGTACTCCAGCCTGGGTGACAGAGTGAGACACCATCTCAAAAATAAAATAAAATAAAATGCAGCGATGGCAGATCTACTAGAAGAGGGTGGACCAGAAAGACCTCTCTGAAGGGGTGGCCCCTCATCCAAGACCTACAGGATAAGAAGACGTCAAGCACACAGAGTATGGGAAAGGGCACCCCAGGCAGAGGGAACAGAATGTGTAAAGACCGAATGGTGGAAGGTGGTTTTGATGGGCTCAGGGGAAGAGTGGTCAATGGGGATGATGCATGGTGAGTCTGAGGATAACTGAAGGTAAAGAGGTGGGCACAGAGAGCTCTGTCGGCTAGGGACAGTGAATGTTCTCTAAATGCAATGGGGAGCTACTCAAAGGGTTTAGTGGGGAAGACGTGATCTAATTTGTATCAGATGGAATGTGAAAATAAATCAAACTAGAGTAGAAGTAGAAAGGGAGGCACTCTGTATGACAAAAACTGCAAAATTCTTCCTAGTAGCCATTCTCCCCTCCTGCCTTATTATGAGAACTCCAATTTTACTCTGAAGAGCGGTAGGCCCAGTAAAAATTGTATTTCTCACATTCTTTGTAGTTAGGCATGGCCAGGTATAATAATTCTGCCTAATGAGACCTACGTGGAAGTTAGCTGGGAATGGAATTTTGGGCAAGTTTTGCTTTCTTGCTATAATGACCCAACTCCTTCATGTGTCTTTCTTCCTCTTTCCTTACGTGATTTCAGCCTGGAAAAAGAAGATGTGATGGCAAGTGAAGCAGCAGCAACCATCATAGACAACTATCCAGGTAAAGTGAACAGCACCAGAGAGAGCTCAGCCCTGGCAGCCTTGAACCACTGGACCAGTGCCAACAAACCCCACATCTGGATTTTACTGTGTCCCAAGAGAAAAATCTTCTACTTGTCTCAGATGCCGTTTGGTAGAATTTTCTGTTACTCACACGTGGGTGCCATGTCTAACTGACACATCAGGTAACCAAAGCCTGACTTGGGTGGTGGCGGTTACAATGAAGAAGAGTGGGCTGAATCGGGGTATATTTTTGAAGGGAGAAACAACAGGACTTCCTGATGACCTAGATGTCGGTTGTGGTGGTGGGAGATGGCAATTATAAAAAGTACAAGACTTTGGCTTGAGAACTTATGAGAATGGGAAGGAAAAACCAAAAGAGGAGCAGGTTTGAAGATTAGAAGCAAGGATTCCATTTTTGATATTTCAAAGTTGAGGTGCCTAAGAGGCAGTCTCTACTCCTGTGGTTTCCAGGAGACAGGATCTTGCTGGCCCTGTTCCACCCCTTCATTCACTCCTTCTCAGGGAGTGATGAGCCAGCCTGCCCAGGGAGACTGCCTGTTCTGCCCACCTACTCCCTTGCTTAGGCATCCAAAGTGTAGCCTCCAGGAATGTGGCGGGGGTCTTCAGTACCGCCTGAAGCTGGATGCTCAACACAATGTCCAGCATTCAGAAGCCAATTATTGCTGTAAATCTCCACATCACTTTCCAATTTGGTTGTTATACCAAAAAGTATTTGTAGTCCCACATGCTACACTTTTCTGTCCATCTCTCAGTTGCTTCAAATATGGGCCAACTTACACCTATATAATGACAGGTAGACATTTCGTGTTCTTTCAGCCACATCATAGGGGCCTCATTGTAATAGGTGCCTCTTTCAATAGTTACTGCCAAAGAAAATGAAGTTCTCGCCTATTCATGGCTGCCCTCTTATCTTTATTGTTAGAGTCAAGGGTTGAGTCTTCCTTGCCCGTTGGGACTATAAACTGCATGGGAATTAGAACTTATTTAAAATTGATGCCAGTGAGCAAAAGGTAAACATACTGTAACCATTTCACTGTTCAGGCACATGACTTCTTACTATAACTCTGAAGAAATTGTATGATTAGAATTGTTTTACTGTGCTGTCTCTTATTTTTCTCCACTACCAGTTCACTCTTACCTTCCCTCCATCCACTGATCCATTCTTTCCTTCCCTCCTTTAAAAACTGCTGTTAATGTTGCTTTTCCTTATTCTATCCCTAATAACCTTAGAGTTTCTAGACATACACTGTTAAAGAAAGGGTCATTCATCAAGCCTGGTGAATCTAGGTAATGTGGTCTGGTATCAGTCTGTGTAAGGACAGAGCAGTCTTATTTTTCCTATTCCTTTTCTTTAAAGACAGATTGGTCTTATACTGGATATTAGATCACTTACCAGAATTTACATTTGGGAATTTGTTATACAATATGCTACGCTGCTGTAAAACCTGTCTTTTGATAAAGTCATATAAGATACTTTTACATTTAAGATCTCGGTTTTGCCCTCTCTTCCATCCCATCCTGACAGATACATTATTCCTTGTGTTTGCACTGATGAAAGAGGTGATAGGCATTTTGGCACACTACATCACAGAAAATAGTACTTATCTTCAGAATGGAAATATACATCCCACATGTCACTATCGCGTAGGGCCCTGCACCTGGTATGGAATGGAGCGTGGCATTGTTACAGTGTCATTCAATGGCTTTTACCAAGCAAGAGAACATCGGCAGCTGTGATGCATGATGCCGCTGTGACATTAACTACAGACACAGATAGAGTGCCCATAAAAAAAAATACGCCCTTTTTTTGAATAGAGCCCTGGGTAATTACCCTGACTATTGTTCTAAGAGAAAGCCCCATTTACACCCCTTCATCATTTAGACTCTGGACATAAAAAAAAAAATCACTGGCATTAAGTAGTTAAGGCAATTTGCTTTCCAAATGAAGAAAGGACAAAAAAAAAATCCCTGCTCTTGAGTTGCTCATTTTGACAGCCACAGCTCACCCAAATAAAAGATCCTGAGGAGTTTTTCTGATAGTACCCTTTTCCTACACAGAGCCCAAGGAGAACGTGTTCAAGTTTGCTTTCTGCTGTCAGCACTAGGAGGACACAGGGGGCTGTGTGGACAGCCTGCGGGTGAAGGGTGGCGGCCCTGCAGCTATGATATGAACTGTGGTGGGTCCAGCAGGCACAGATGCATCTAGCTGCCCTGCCCTGGTGGCCAGGCTTGCTGTTCTGAGGAAAAGCTACAGAAACGTTGCTCACCTTGAGAAGTAAACTCTCAGGGCAGGGTCCGTGTTCCTCCAAGGTGCCACAGAACATGAAATAGGTTATGAGGTTTGCCATTCAATGTGGAGTAAAAATGGGAGATTATTGAACTACTTACCCCCAAATGAAAAAATAAAATTAATCAAAAAGAAAAGGCAAAATCACAACAAAAGAGATGGCCCCCAACATTTTACTTACATTGAGTGAGAATCCCAGTTAAGGCATTTTTGAAATTCTCCTTGGCTTCCTCCATCTCCTGCTCATGTGTGGCTTTTTCATTCATGAGCCGGCGGACGTGGCTGTTGGCCGACTGCACCATGGAATAGAACTGGTTTGCGGAACGCCGATTCACCTCCCCTCGTTCAATCCAGGAAAGCAGCACTGTGATCGCCTCTGAAAACTTGCTATCATCTGGAAATGGAAAACCACCAAGTACAAATCATGCCAAGATGAGAAAATACACTTTATTCGTATTCCTCTCAAAAGACAGAGCATAGTCCAACCTAGTGGATATATTTTCAGAACTCAACAAATTAGCTTTCCTGAGACTGACTGCCATATAATCACTTAATTTCTCTTTTCTCATCTAACTTCAGGGCACCATAGAACCACTCAGGAGGTTCACATTCTCATCTACCAACTCCATGAGCTCAGCTATAGGAGATTCGTTCTGGGCATTCTTAGGAATAAGGTACAGCCTAATTCTTCCACCAAACCTTGTTTTCTCTTTCTTAAGATGGACTTGAAAAACTGTTATTAACCTACTTGGTCTCTACTTCATTTCTTTGTTCCTTTAACAAAAATATGACACAGTGTTACCAGTTTTCTGATTTATAGAATCAGCTGACTTAGTGTTAAAATGTGGAAGAAAGATTGGATTACTTTAAAACTGGTTGTAATGTATGGTACTATCCCTAAGGCAGGTAGTAGGAATAAGTCAATTCTTGTTCTACTGTAGTTCAAAACGAATTCCATTTTAGGGCTAATACCATATATTTAATTAGGCTGAAAAACAGAATATTTCCTAGTTTTCCACAAAAGAGAACATGTTTCCTGAGGTGTTCAGTGTTTGCTTTGGATTGCTGTGGAAAGCCCATTTGAACCCAGTTTGAGATGTGTGTGTGTGGTGTCGGGGGGGACAGGAAGTAGGAAATACAGTTCCATCTGAAAATAAGTGATAAATTCTATTTCAAAGAAAACAGACTTGCCTCTTTGGGAATGGTTACTGAACAAACCTGTGTTGTGTGGCTTGGAGGTGGAGAAAAAGGAAGTTTGTGGGTGATTAAGTTAATTAGAACTGGAAGTTGTATGTCAGCTGTTACAACATTAATCGATCTGACTACTGCTGAAGGCTCACTGCCTACTTTTCAGGCAAACCTGAGGGGAGAATCCTTTCATTTGTATTCTGCAATCCCTAGAAAATGTGCTTTAGGGGAAAATATCCTACATTTTTACAAGTAAACTAGGTAGACTCTGAATGCTAAAACTAAGGAGCAAAATTAGATTGAAAGATTCAGATTCTTACTCATTCGTTTAAAAAATACTGAGGGTCTACTGTGTGCCAGGCACTGTCCCCTCCGCTGGAGGGGCATCGGAGACATCCTTATGTATTGTTTGCATATAAACATACATACAGTCCACACGAATAGACAGGGGGAGATTCATACTTGAGAAAAAGATTTCATTTCACTCAGCAGATTTTAAAATCAATCATTGAGTTCTTATTAGTATTTTACACATCATACGAAACCTTCCCACCATTGAATGCTTTGTAAATGTAGAGGGTGCTTTACAAACATCTTTAGTGTCCTTTCTCCCAAAGACCTCCTCCCAGACCAGTACAGCTTCCTTAGTATGGCTGCTGCTTGCCCAGGAGGTGCGTGTCCTGAAAGAAGGTAGGGCTGAGCCTAATTCAAGGTCCTGCGGTTGAGCTCTGCCTTCCCCAGGGAAGAAAGCAGCTTTTAGGGATGTGCTCATGCTCAGCCACCATTCTAAGCCCTCTCCGGCTGCACAGCGGCCTTCTAGATTTGGGGATCAAAGCTTTTTTTCTGAGCAAACCTGCCCCCCTGCCCTCACACTTTAACCAGAGGAGACAACTGGCCTGGGAGTGCTCACAAAACACCCTGTGAATGACAGACTCAAGTTGCCTTGAAAATCTCAACCCATAGGCACAGAACACACTTACTGAGTATTGTAGCTGCTATTATACCATTTTGTTAACTCGGGAATTTCAGTCTAAGTTCAACCCTCAGTGAACTCCAGCTGCAATGGTTTCTTATCTCATTTCATGGACCGAAGCGGCTTGTATAAGATAAAATCCATCACACAACTTAACATTACGTTCAGTCCATGGAGAGGCCCATAATTTAACATTATGTTTGTGAGAGGCCCACTGCCACCGTTACTGGCGGAATAAATTTTGCCTCCCTCCACACTCTCTACCTCTCTTCCCACCAATATATGTTAGGAGAATGGACCTCAGCAAAGACAGCGGAAATAAACTTAATGCTCAGAAGAAATCTTTTTTTTTCCTCTGAAAAGATAACAACAGAAAAAGAGAACACTGATTTCATGTACTATTTTTTCCCCTTTGCTATGAGTTTCATGTCTACACAACACAGAGAAAGAAAAATCCTTAACATTTTTGTTATGAGCTTTACAGGGACAGAGTGTAATGCTGTTCTCCTCTTTCTCTCATATACAGGTGGTTTTTCCTTCTCTTGCTCATGGTGGCTTAGTTCATAAATAGACTAACTTTACTATCAGGAAAAAAACACTTCAATTTTAAAAACGTATGTTTGCTCAAATGGTCTGAAAGCCACATTTTATTGCTCGTCACACCTAGACCTAGAGCACAATACATTCACCTGCAGATTATAGTTTCAGAAAGAGGAAACAATATGCTTAGGATTAAGCCACTGAAAATACACGCTTTCAAAAGTAAGTAGCCAAGAGATTTTCTAACATGTTAACAAGTACTAGGAGACAGAATTCCATTAGCCTAAAAGAGAAATATAGTTTCACAGACTCCCAATTTCATCTTCATTTCTGAACTTTCTGAAACTGACAGGCCGATATATGATTGATGTACTGACATTCAAATTAAATTAAAAAAACATTAGTTAAGGCATGCTTGATAACTCCAGTCAATATTTGTTGCCATGTAAGAAGTGACTTTAATTTATATTAATTAAGACTAAGCCAGTAACTCCCTCTGGATGGCTACAGGAGGATATTGGGAGCGGTCATTTTCAATACTCAACTGTAAATTCAATTTTGTATTCAGTGGAAAGATCACTGAGAAGGCAGAAAACAATATAAACTAATTTAAACAGGATTTAGATTGCAGCATTATTAAAGCTATTCATGTGGAAAGAAATTAACACTGCTCATAAAAATCACATCAAAGACGCACTTATAAAAATTCCAAATACTTTCTGTGAACATGCTCAGGCATAACTCTGAATGTGGATGCAGTTTAGAAGCTAGAATGTGCAGATGTGCTTTTTCCACAGTAAGAATTGGGAAACATTGGTATATTATGGAGGGAATATAAATCATTTGCTCATTAGAAATTGCCCACCGTTTTCTAATCAGGATCCTCACAACGTTAATGCACCTGAGTTAATAGACAGGTTCATTTATGAGTCTTACTTTTTTCCTTTCCATCCATCCGTCCCGCTTCCTTTTCCAGAGCCCTCTTTGTTAAACAGCACGGCATGCCTCCCTGCATTTGCTCATGCTGTGCACTTATCCTTGGGTCTCTCACACTCCTGGTCCCCCAGGCAGCTTTTATTCTTCCCTGAAGATTCTGCAACCCTAGGATGCATTCGGTGTCTCTTTGCCATGTTTCCACAATACCCTGCATATCCTGCTATGAAAGCATTAGTCACTCTGTACAGTAATTGTTGGTTTACAGATCTGTCTCCAGTTTTGAGGGGCTAATATGAGAATAAAATTTCCAAAACATATTTCAGTCCTCTGGTGACTCTGAGTTTTTTCCTTTGTATTTTATGTCATTGCACTCTACAGTAGTTCCTCCTTATCCACAGTTTTACCTTCTGGGGTTACAGTTACTGTAGGTCTCAGTTAACTGTGGTCAACCGCAGACCAAAAATAATAAATGGAAAATTGCAGAAATAAGCAATTCATCCATTTTAAATTGCACACTGTTCTGAATGGCATGATGAAATGTCACGCTGTCTCACTCTGACCTGACCCGGATATGAATCATCCCTTTGTCCAGGGTTGATTGTCCATCCACATTGTCTACACTACCTCCCTGTGAATCACTTAGTAGCCACCTGGATTGCCAGATCCACTGTAATGGTACAGCAGTGTTTGTGTTCAAGTAACCCTTATTTGGCTTAATAATGGCCCCAAAATGCAAGAGTAGTGATGCTGGCAATTTGGAAATGTCAAAGAAAGGCCACAAAGTGCTTCCTTTAAGTGAAAAGGTAAAAGTTCTTCACAATAAAGAAAGTAAAAAATTGTATGCTGAGGTTGCTAAAATCTAGGGTAAGAACAATTTATCTATGAAATTGTGAAGAAGTAAAAAGAAGCTTGTGCATAGTATATATAGTGTTCAGTACTATTCATGGTTTCAGGCATCCACTAGGATCTTGGAATGTATCCCCCAAGGATAAGGGGAAACTACTGTATTCCCAATAGATTTGTAGCAATTGATGCTGGAAAGATACAAATGCAATGGTTAAAAGTTAGGAAACATCATAGTTGATAATAAACATTTAAATTTCATGTCAAAGAGTATTTTCACACATGCCATTATCTACCAGAGATAGATGTTCTCATGACAATTAAGCTGAATGATCCTGTTATATACTTCAGGCTTCAGAAGTCATTATCACTGGCAATGAAAGTTAAGAGTGATGTCAGAGAATCCCACAGAAGCAAGGCCCTCTGCAGTGAGGCACTAAACGGTTTATCAAATAACTCAAAAATGTTTTTGAAAGCCTTTTTAATTTTGGGAAGGTAATTGCCCTTTAGCTTTGTGAAGAGTAAATAATATTATAGTGATACTATCAGATGTCACCACTGGAATCCACGCCCATCTCATTTCATTTCTGGTTATTTCAGACTTTGTTAACCTCCTTCCCTCTCCCTCTCTTCCATGTTTCTTGAGAACTTGGCACACAGTAGGCATTACAAAACTGCATACGGGAGAGCTCTTTGCTATTCAAAGACCAGGCGCAGAAGCAGCCTTTGCGAGCTTGTTAAAAATGCAGACTCTGCCTTTCCCACACCTCCAGAATTGGAATCTGCATTTTACTCCAGGTGATTTCTATGCGCGTGGAGGTTTGAGAAGCACTGAATTAAGGACTCAGTGAAAGCCAGGTAAACTGGTTAGGAGCTGACCAAAGTTAAGAGATAATGAAAACCTGAAGTGGAAA